TTAAAACTTTACACAAACAGGATGAGACTATAAACCCCTTTTTCCTAGCTGCTTTTTGAGGTCATCTTTGGAGATCTTTACATCAGTACAAGTCAGTCTAACTTGTTCTCATGTTTTAAAATCTGAATAGATATTCCTACATTGCTTGTACAAAAAGGGTGTCCCAAGTATCCCTTCATCAAGGGTTTGAGAGTGCTTTGTTTTTTACACTTACACTGACCCTAGTTTTCCTAATTTTAACCAAGATGTTAGGTACTTTCACTTGAATTTATTCTTGTGTCAGTGAGATCAAGGATCTTTTCATAGGGTTTTTTTGGTCATTCGTATATATTGTTTTTCTGTCCTATTTTTCTGTTGGATCAGTTTCTTATCCCTTGGTAAGAATGTCTTGTATATTAAAGAAATCAACCCTTTGTTTTAGCATCTGCCCTTTCATTTTGTGTATGGTCTTACTTTTGCCCTATGGAAGTTTTAATTTTAAGTACTTAAACTTATGAGGTTTTTTTCTTTTTTCATTAATTTGAAAATTAATGAACCCACCCACCCAACCCACCCCCCCACCCTGAATCAAAGGGCCTTCCTGGGTTGCTGTATTGTGCTCTTTAATCAAATCCTTATTGGTAGCAGTGTTGCATGGAAAGAAATTGGGAGAAATCGGTCTGGTATTTCTTCTTGCATTGGTGTGCTCACTGATCTTAGAAGAGTTAATGAAAGCTTTGGGTTTGAAGCCCTGAGTGTCCCTGGGTATCTATCCCCTAATGATGAGAAGAAAGGAACAGGAAGCAAGATAGAGTTGTTAATCAACCACTGAAAGATCTGTCTTCTCAGGCAGTTTGCTAAATACACTTTTTTTTTTCTTCTGGAAACAACATTTGATAGTTACTACCCAATCCGGGCATTAATTGTTGGACCTTGGAGACCCATGTGATGGGGAAATGTGGGCAAGGCATGGGTCCAGGGATAAAATGGCCCCTTTTGGGAGCACAGCTCATACCTAAATACCACATTCCAAAAATACAGTAGCTTCCTGACTGCCCCAGACATATTTAAAGGGAATGAAGATAGGGTAGTATGATGAGTTGAGAAATGCAGAGGGGAGTCAAGAGGTAGAGAAGGCACTGTTTGATTTGCTCTGTCCCTTTATTGGATCTTGTTCCTTATCAGGAGGACAGGCAGTGATGCTGCTTCTATTCTTGCCATCACCAGTGTGACCCGAGCCCTTCTCTGGTGTTCTACATACTCCTCCTGAAGTTAGAAAGGAGACACTCTATTTTTTCTAGCAGGATATTGTGTTTGCTGCTTCGCATATTTGGGTAGACCTGACTGGAAATAGAGCAGGAGGGAGTTTTAAGTTTTTGAGCTGCTCCTTAGCTTTATACTCTGCTGGGTGGTAGCTGATGTCAGAAGCATACCTATGTTTTTCACTGTGAGGCACACCTCCCATGTCTTTCTTTTCCAAGAACCTCTTTTGACCTCTCCAGCAATTTAAGACAATGTCAAGCTGGTTTTGGAAAATAGTAATTCGGCATATTAGAGTGGAGAGGCCGTTCTTCCATCTTCCCTGCTGAAGATGACCTTGACTCAATAACTCTGGCCCCTGCTGTCTGCTTCCTAGACATCCAAGGGCTCAATTCCCTACTGCTTGCATCTCTTGTCACTTTGTCCTGGCTGAGCATGGGAGCACTAGAGGCTGAGTCATAGCAGCCAAGTAATCTAGCCAGTCCCAGAGCTTTTGTTTCCCTTTCCTCCAACATGACAGGAAGAAAATGAAATAGTTTGAGCCCAGCATCTCTGAATGCAAGAGATACTCTGTATTTGTATTCCTAATAGGCATTCTATTCAGTGTATAGGTGGACCATTTCAAGGTTTCAAGGTGAAACCATTTCATTGGATTCCATCTCAAGAGGTATTTCATTCTGTTGTTGAAAACTCAAGATGTGTTCTCATCATTTCTTGTCTGTTACCATGACCATTGGGCCGATCATCCTGGAGAAACCAAGATTAAGTCTCAAGAAGCCTACCGGAAAAGCTCCATTCTTCCTTTCATCAGCTAGGAGCCTGCGCTCATGATTTTTCCAAAGACCACCATGTTGACATGTAAAACCAATAGACATTGGAAGAGCCAATATTTATATTAAAAATAAAAATAATTATCTTAGGGAAGAAAAAGTAAAGCTATATGCTTCAATATGTTATTCGATCATTCATACAATAGATGTTTGTATAGCCCTTACTACATGTCAAGCACTATGCTAGCATTTGGGAACGTATCTGGGATAATAGCAGTAACCGTAGCTAACAAGTATGGAGCTCTTACTACCTATTAGACATTGGGCTAAATGCTTTATGTGGATTATCCCACATAATTCTCAAATCAACTTTGTAACTGTGTTCTTTTATCATTTCTATTCAAAGATAAGGAAAATAAGGCTTAGAGAGGTTAAATAACTTGCCCAGGAACACATTGCTAATAAGGATTAAAGCTGGGATACACGCCAGTGTACTTTTTAATTGCACTTTGCACTTTTTAATTGTTTGCTGTTGTTTCCGCATGAGGCGGAAACAAGCCCCTGCCCTCATGGAACTTACGGTCTAACTTGGTGAACACTTTTCTTCAGGTAGACTCTTAATCAGTCTCTGGAGAGATGTGGAGGGTCTGCCAGAGAAGCCTTCCCGCCTTTCAGCAGGATTTAGGCTGGTTGCACAGCCTCAGTTGATGGGAGTTGGTTGATCGCATAGACTTTTTTCATGTTCTCTAATCACGTTCATGTCCCCCATCTCCTGTGTCCTTCTCATGCCTTCCTCCTAACATCCTTTATCTTATCCCTCTGCCACCCTCCTTTCTCTCTGAATGCCCTCCCCTCCACACCTGCTTATTTTTTCCTCTCTCCCATCTAGACAATCACTAGAGTCCCAAATGTCGTGCAATGCAGTTTTCAAGGAAAACATGGAAGGGAGGGAAACTCACTGCAAATGAAATGAGCTATTGATGGATGCCCCAGTAAGCCTAGAGGGCCTTCTTTAGCATTCTCTGGCATTTAAGGGACTCAGGATTCCAAAAGCACATCCACTCCATTCTGCTAGTGCTAATCTCATTTTTTCCATGATTAACAACCCCATTCATTATGTTTTCAGCTCACATTAATCTTCTCTTCTGTGAGTTTGGTAACATTTGGAGTCATTTCCCCCTGTATTTATCCATCTGGGATCTTTAGAAAAGATAAGTTTGCAGAGACTCATTTGTTGCTCATGCAGAAAGTCATTTATTACTCACTGTGGTAAGAGGAAGGAATATTCCCCTTGTTTCTCACATCCTGAGAGAGGACACTCTGAAATCAGACATCGAGCTCCATGGGGTACTGAATTTGGGGTTGAGCTTCGACATAACAGCATCAGAAGTCACAACAAGCAATGCTTCCTTGATCCCAACTGTCTTTATAGAGCAGATAATGTTGGGAGAGCATTGTAGGGGTAGTAGAGAGTGTTAGGAAATTAATAAGTCAGAATAAAGCCTTTGGCGTGAGTCCTGTCTCTGCCACCTATGAGCTATAACCTTGGGCGAATCACATAATCTCTCCAAAATCCACTTGCTTCCTCTGTGAACTGGTCCCAAAGATGCCTGTCCTCTCTATATGAGAAAAGAGTTTGGAGGGTTCACTTAATATTCTCATTTCTGTTCCTGAGTAAGCTTGTATCCTTACTTATATTACTTAATATTAAAATATTAATTACATTTCAGAAGCCCCTTCCAACAATATTATATATATACAGTAAAACCTTGGTTTTCAAGCATAATTCATTCTGGAAACATACATGTAATCCAAAGCACTGTATATCAAAGTGAATTTCAAGAACCGTTGCCTCCGTTGTGATCATGTGACATTCGGTGTCATTTACCACTGGTATTGCAAGACATCACTCGTTTATCAAGTTAAAATTTATTAGAGATGTTTGTTCATCTTGCAGAACACTCGGAGAGCAAGTCACTTGCAATCCAAGGTTTTACTATGTATTTATTATATATGTAATTTATTATATATATATAATTTATCATGTATATGTATATATATACATTTCAGCAATAATATATACATATAATGATTGGAAAGAAAAAAGTAAGCTATTGGGAAAGTCTTAGAGGCTAATATATTTTAGTCCTTATCTTATATTTTAAAAAGTCTTGGAGGTGTGTGTCATATTTGAAGACCTATTGGGGACGGGATAGGTTGTTTAGAAAAGAGAGAGAATCAGGGAGACAACCCTTTTGGGGATTCTGTTCTATCAGTCCCTAGCAACATTTTGTTGTAAAGGTTGGAATGCATTTATTCATTTCTTAATTCAAGCAAGATGTTTCTTTAGAGAAAATATTCCAATTGAGCATCCATTCAGGAGCCATGACAATTATTGCTATCTATGGTCATTAACCATGAAATATCAGTGTTATTTCTCATTGCTGCTCAAGAGGAGGTCTAAACTGCATTCATGCATCTGCAACTGTAGAAAGGAGGAAAGGCATAATTAAATTTTATTGCTATATAATTTAGAAGGGGTTTAGGATGTTGAGAGGACTAGTAGAGATGACAGAATTCTAGGCTGTTTGCTGTAATTCTGCACAACTAAAAACAAGGCAGCATGATTCGGAAATGTCATTTATTGACAGACCTTTCCCCAAGCACCTGGGATTTGAGCAGGAGACTCCCATTATGTAGACATCTCCCAGTGGTATCAATGGAAATTACCTCTCCTGCCCACATAGAATGCCAGACGCCTGAGAGCACTTTTAATTGCTCTCTCTGCAAAAAAAAAGCTAATTGTCTCTGCTTCCCTTTCCTTTAGGTACCCAAGCAAGGACAGGAATAATGAAGAGACACATGTGTTAGCTGCAACCTTTTGAAATAAGCAAGAAGGAAATCAGCAGTGTGGACAAGGCTGGAACCGTTGCCACGCTTGCTTGTCGGAGTGAATGAGGAATGGGCTTGTGATTATGCTGACATTCCAGCATGAATCTGGTAGACCTGTGGTTAACCCGTTCCCTCTCCATGTGTCTCCTCCTACAAAGTTTTGTTCTTATGATACTGTGCTTTCATTCAGCCAGTATGTGTCCCAAGGGCTGTCTCTGTTCTTCCTCTGGGGGTTTAAATGTCACCTGTAGCAATGCAAATCTCAAGGAAATACCTAGAGATCTTCCTCCTGAAACAGTCTTATTGTATCTGGACTCCAATCAGATCACATCTATCCCCAATGAGATTTTTAAGGACCTCCATCAACTAAGAGTTCTCAACTTGTCCAAAAACGGCATTGAGTTTATCGATGAGCATGCTTTCAAAGGAGTAGCGGAAACTTTGCAGACTCTGGACTTGTCTGACAACCGGATTCAAAGCGTGCACAAAAATGCCTTCAATAACCTGAAGGCCAGGGCCAGAATCGCCAACAACCCCTGGCACTGCGACTGTACTCTCCAGCAAGTTCTGAGGAGCATGGCATCCAACCACGAGACAGCCCACAATGTGATCTGTAAGACTTCTGTGTTGGATGAGCACGCCGGGAGACCATTCCTCAATGCTGCCAATGATGCTGACCTTTGTAACCTCCCCAAAAAGACTACCGATTATGCCATGCTGGTCACCATGTTTGGCTGGTTCACCATGGTGATCTCATATGTGGTGTATTACGTGAGGCAAAATCAGGAGGATGCCCGGAGACACCTTGAATACTTGAAATCCCTGCCCAGCAGGCAGAAGAAAGCAGATGAGCCCGATGACATTAGCACTGTGGTATAGTGTCCGAACAGACTGGCACCAAGAAAGAAATTCGTTTGCAGTTGCAATAGAATAAGTGGTTTACTTTTCCCATCCGTTGTAAACATCTAAAACTTTGTATCTCCCTTTCTTTTGAATTATGCCACTGTCGAGCTTTTAACAAACATGACAACATAACAGATAATTTTAGTTTAGGTGTCCCACCCCTTAATTGTACCCCCAGTGGTATATTCCTGAGTAAGCTACTATCTGGACATAAGTTAGATCCATCTCACTATTTAATAATGAAATTTATTTTTTTAATTTAAAACCAAATAAAAGCTTAACTTTGAACCATGGAAAACAGAGTGACTTATTGGTCCAGAAAACAGTACAGTCATTCCGTTGCTTTCAAGAGAAATCGACAACCCTTACGAGCCTAAAGAATTATCATAATGAAAGATGTGTTATTAAGTCCTACTGGACATGGGGAAGCCATAGCTGAATGATCGAGCAAGGAAAGTGTCTGTCAGACTTTAAAATACTGAGCCTTAGCAAACCTGAGTGATAATACACAGTCCGGCATCCTGCAGAGGCTTCCGCTGGGATGCCGCTAGATGTTCGCTATCTAAAAGTTGGTGTGTTTAGCTGTTATATTAATTATATTATATATTATATTATATTATATTATATCTAGCTAAACACACTGCTTTTACTCTATGCCAGATACATGGACAAGAAAAGGACAGCACATATTCTGTCCTGAAGATCACCTTTTGGTGGGCAGGTGTATGTGACAAACATAGAAATAGCTATGCTGAAAAGGAAAGTCCTAACTGTAATATAGCATCAACAGTGTGCGAGGCATTTTTATACTATCATTAAGTCTCTAAACCTTCACTGCAAAAGGAGAACGTAACAACTGCCCCATTTACATAAGAGGAAACGGAGGTGAAAGAAGGCCAACGAAGTGCCAGGTAGAAAGTATTAGAACTTGACTTTGAACCAAGTGTTCCTCTTTCCAAAGGCTGAGACATTCTCATTATGTTCCTACTGGGTTGGTTTGGAGAGGTATGATTTACATGCCAGAAAATTGGCCATGTTAAGGGTACAGTTCCATAAGTTTTGACAAATGTATGTACCAGTATATCAAGATATTGTGTCCCTGAAACTGTTCTGAGATAGGAGAAAGCTAATTCAGTTCTTGGAGCAGGGAATTGTGGGTTTGGTTTTTGGTTTTCGTTTTGGTTTTAAGGTGCCATTACAGATAACCCTTGGAACTTGGGTGGGATCTCATCAGATGGTGATACAGGCAAGGAAGGTCGATGAAGCAGGGGGAGAAAAGCGGTAAAAATGCAGGGTGGTATTTGGGATGAAGGAATCTGTGTCGGGGAGAAGTGCAAGACAAAGCTGGAGCCCTATCATGGATCTCAATTCTGGGCTCCGGAGTAAGAATGACTAATAGAATTTATGGAGCACTTACAACGCACCAAGTACTTTCTTTGGGTTGTATTAATTAGTCCTTGTAATTACCCTATGAGATAGTCTTTTGTGAATGAGGTATCACAGACACAAGAGTGTAAGTAATTAATTCAGAAAACTAGGCCTTATAAGAAGTACAGCAGATTCTGAAATCCAGTCAATTTTAGAACCCACGGGCCTCTTAACCAATGTACTGCATTGCTTAACGTTCACTTTACTGTTGAAGTTGCTGGTTCCCCAGACCAAGAGGCTTGCAGATTCCCAAGTGATGCTCTCATTAACACAGTAATGAGCAACAATGGCTTTTTGTGGGGCTTAAGTAGGAAGGTTGGATCCTTTGCAATTTTGACCCACAGAGCCTTCTCCAACCCACATTAGGTTAACTTTGGGCCTCCAGGAATCACATTTCTGCCCTTGGAAAGCACCACAGTTCCTGTCCATATCAGTAGTCTCTTAAGAGGTTCCTGACATGGGTCATGAGGGTCAGCCGCTCTTATACCTGTAGTAGAGCATTCAGAACAATGTGGCAAGGCCATACTGGCACATACCCCGGGGCAATGGGATTGTCACACCCGTCCTAGCCTTACTAAAAAAAAAAAAAAAATGCAAGACCTAGTCCACAAGTCTGAGATGTGAAATTCAGAATATGGGCCCCAGTACTTCTGCATCCCAGTGAGAAAGAAGCCAGACTGTCTGCTTTTGCTAACTGGGTTTGAACGCCTTCCAGAGGAACTGGAGCTTTGCTGAAGATTTAACGCCCCCTGGAGGACAACATGATAATATATCTCTGTAAGTACTACCACAGAGAGATGCCTAACTGAATGCACCTTCCCCCCACCCCACACCAACTAAAGAATAGGAAAGTCCAGCCATTGCAAAGGATAAGCCTTAAAACATTAATTGCGTTTATTCAAGTGGGTGAGTCACATTCATTTTAGAAAAGCTTTCACAAATCACAGAATCCACTTCAGGTTGCCTCTTCCAAAATAGCCTTTTCATATTTCTTGCTAATAAGAGTTTATTTTCCTAATGGCCAATTGCATTGGTCAAGTGTGAGTACATATAAAAAAAAAAAATCTCTGAAGAGTGTTGCAGCACAGTGACAGGCTGGTTCAGATGTGGCAACACTGAATTCCCACATGTGGGTTTGTAGTTCTCTGTGTATACAGAGTTAAGAGGTGCACCCTAGGTTAATAATCATTCCCCTGCCTAGATTCTGTGTATAGATTTTCAGCTAACAGGCTATAAGTGTGAGTGCTTTAAAACAACAACTTTAAGTTAGGTTTCTGTGATTGGAGTAGTTAAGCCACTGGAGGAGAAAATTAATTCTTTAAAAAACAAAAACAGGGGAGCCTGGGTGGCTCAGTCGGTTAAGCGTCTGACTTCGGCTAGGTCATGATCTCGCAGTTCGTGAGTTCAAGCCCTGCGTCGGGCTCTGTGCTGACAGCTCAGAGCCTGGAGCCCGTTTCAGATTCTGTGTCTCCCTCTCTCTGACCCTCCCCCGTTCATGCTCTGTCTCTCTCTGTCTCAAAAATAAATAAAAGTTAAAAAAAATTTTTTTTTAAATAAAAACAAAAACAAAAACAACACCAGGTACCAGGCTATCAGGCCCCTTCGTGACCGGAACTGGAAGGAAACACACTTCCCATCAGCTTGTAGGGATGTTACACCCCACTGGGCCAACAGTGAAGGAGGCCAGTGAGTGGCTTCTTGAGGCCCGTGGCTGGCTGTACAGGAAAAGCCCTGAAATGCATGCGTCAGTTTCAATCCCAGCATGCTAAAGTTTCTGGACTCTCATAAATGTATATACACAAGGAGAGCTACCTCTTTTAGAACTGTAGGGTTTTTGAAATGCACTATCATCTTATCATCTGAGGCACATACACACCATCTTGCTTTTTAAATATTTTAATTGACAGCTTCTGTGCTCAACCCTCTCCTTTGCTATCACTCACCCGACCTCAACCTTTGCAGTTCAAAAGTACCTGGGAAGTTGTGTCTAATCATTGACAATGTGCTTATCTCTGAAGCAAGGCAAATCATAAAACGTGCCAGCCCAACTGGAACATTTTTAAGGAAAGTGATAAAAAAGTTATGTAACGGAAGATTTAACTTTCAAGAACACTTTGGCAAATTGTAATGCACTGGTATACAAATTCTGCCAGGTACGCGTTGTTCTTTTTTACGTCCTTCGATGATTACCCACAATAATTCATGTTCTGACATCAACAAGCATAAGGCAGTCTGAGATGTGGGTAGGTTTTCCTTACTGGCTCGAGACTTTCAATTCATTCAGTAAGTTTTCTCATCTATCTGGCACAGCTAGAGAATGGAAAATTCTGCCTAATGAAATGTTCAAGTTACTAGAAATAGGCAAACTCCTAGAATTTCAGGGCTGGGAGAGTTCTGGAGATGATCTCACCCACTGATTTGACAGGTGCTGAAATGGAAACCCTTCAGACATGGACATTAGCATGCATGTGTCCATACTCTTCACCCAGTGTCCTTCACAGGGCACCAAGTGCCTCTCCTGATGAACCATCCCCCAGTCTTCAAAGAAACAAAACAATGTAACAATATACACCACGAAGATGCCCCAGCAATCAGTAGCAGTTTCTCTGAGGAGTCAGAAGGCAGTCACGGCTCCTACATTGTCACAGAGTTGTAATGAAGAGTATCTGTGATTCTAAAAAGCTTCTTGTTCCCCCAAGATAGACGGAGGTCATCAATTTTCCTTTCACAAACAACCCCCAGATAACATGCTCAACACTATGCATGATCTGGCTTCCCAGGGGAGAGATGGAGAAAATGATCTTGATGCAGCTTCCTGGGGAGGGAGGGTTGATGAGCATTTGTTTCCTTGAGTTGCTGCCTAAACCCTGTGTGGTCAAATACAGCCTTGCTGGCAGAGGTGGGGGGGAGTGGGGAGTCACCGCCTTTAACCCTATGGTCTCCAATTCCAGAGCTCTTGTCAGTCTGGCTTCCAATGTGATGTCACTGATTCATCAAGTTGGCTGGTCTGACCCCGATAGAGCAAACCAAAGGCAAAATCTTTAACCACACATGTGTAAATGCCCTCCCCAACCCTTTTCCAAATCCAAATCTAAATAGAAACTTAGGGAAAAGAAAGACCTGGATTCCTCATCCCACATTTGCCCATAGATGGATGGTCCCAAATGCCCCAAGTGAATAAGCAGGGGACACCCCTTAAGGTCTAAGACTCTAATGCCAACTCAGGGAAATTATGATCTTGCGACTATAAGACGTATAGATATACAGTCCCATAGTATCATGGGTGGGAGACAGTAAAAGAAAACCCACCTCTGTTTATGGCTCTAACTTATTTAACATAGAACCAGAAGCTAGTGTGAATTAAGAAGTGTGTGTGTGTGTGTGTGTGTGTGTGTGTGTGTGTTGTGCACATTGTGGTAATACAGTGGGGAATTGGCCCCTAAAAACACCAGGAAAAGAGATAGTGAGATCACCAAAAACAAAATATTTCGGTTATCTGGTCTAGGGATGGCCTAAATTTGGGATTTCCAGCGAAATTATTAGATGTA